GTAACTTGGGGCGTAGAGTCGCGTGGTGTAATCCGTTAAACCCTACACCTAATACTTTTCCCGCTAGAGGGCAGCAAATTTCCAGCGACAGATTCGCCGGACCCCTAGGATTCCGCTGAAAATCACTACCTAAATGTAACTTGGGGCGTAGAGTCGCGTGGTGTAATCCGTTAAACCCTACACCTAATACTTTCCCCTCTAGCGGGAAAAGTATTAGGTGTAGGGTTTAACGGATTGCACCACGCCACTCTACGCCCCAAGTTACCCCTATGTAGTGATTTTCAGCGGAATCCCAGGGGTCCGGCGACCACGTTACCCCTATTTCAGCGGAATCCTACGGGTCCGGCGAATCTGTCGCTGGAACTTTGCTGCCCTCTAGCGGGAAAAGTATTAGGTGTAGGGTTTAACGGATTCCATCACGCGACTCTACGCCCCAAGTTGCCCCTGTGTAGTGATTTTCAGCGGAATCCTAGGGGTCCGGCGAACCTGTCGCTGGAACTTTGCTGCCCTCTAGCGGGAAAAGTATTAGGTGTAGGGTTAAACGGATTACACCACGCGACTCTACACCCCAAGTTACCCCTTTGTAGGGATTTTCAGCGGATTCCTAGGGGTCCGGCGAATCTGTCGCTGGAACTTTGCTGCCCTCTAGCGGAAAAAGTATTAGGTGTAGGGTTTAACAGATTGCACCACGCGACTCTACGCCCCAAGTTACCCCTATATAGGGACTTTCAGCGGAATCCTAGGGGTCCGGCGAATCTGTCGCTGGAACTTTGCTGCCCTCTAGCGGGAAAAGTATTAGGTGTAGGGTTTAACGGATTACACCAAGCGACTCTACGCCCCAAGTTACCCCTATGTAGGGATTTTCAGCGGATTCCTAGGGGTCCGGCGAATCCGTCGCTAGAACTTTGTTGCCCTCTAGCGGGAAAAGTATTAGGTGTAGGGTTTAACGGATTGCACCACGCGACTCTACGCCCCAAGTTACCCCTATGTAGTGATTTTCAGCGGAATCCCAGGGGTCCGGCGACCACGTTACCCCTATTTCAGCGGAATCCTAGGGGTCCGGCGAATCTGTCGCTGGAACTTTGCTGCCCTCTAGCGGGAAAAGTATTAGGTGTAGGGTTTAACGGATTGCATCACGCGACTCTAGCCCCAAGTTACCCCTATGTAGTGATTTTCAGCGGAATCCTAGGGGTCCGGCGAATCTGTCGCTGGAACTTTGCTGCCCTCTAGCGGGAAAAGTATTAGGTGTAGGGTTTAACGGCTTACACCACGCGACTCTACACCCCAAGTTACCCCTATGTAGGGATTTTCAGCGGATTCTTAGGGGTCCGGCGAATCTGTCGCTGGAACTTTGCTGCCCTCTAGCGGGAAAAGTATTAGGTGTAGGGTTTAACGGATTACACCACGCGACTCTACACCCCAAGTTACCCCTTTGTAGGGATTTTCAGCGGATTCCTAGGGGTCCGGCGAATCTGTCGCTGGAACTTTGCTGCCCTCTAGCGGGAAAAGTATGAGGTGTAGGGTTTAACGGATTGCATCACGCGACTCTACGCCCCAAGTTACCCGTATGTAGTGATTTTCAGCGGAATCCTAGGGGTCCGGTGAATCTGTCGCTGGAACTTTGCTGCCCTCTAGCGGGAAAAGTATTTGGTGTAGGGTTTAACGGATTATACCACGCGACTCTACGCCCCAAGTTACCCGTATGTTGGGATTTTCAGCGGATTCCTAGGGGTCCGGCGAATCTGTCGCTGGAACTTTGCTGCCCTCTAGCGGGAAAGGTATTAGGTGTAGGGTTTAACGGATTGCACCACGCGACTCTACGCCCCAGGTTACCTCTATGTAGGGATTTTCAGCGGAATCCTAGGGGTCCAGCGAATCTGTCGCTGGAACTTTGCTGCCCTCTAGCGGGAAAAGTATTAGGTGTAGGGTTTAACGGATTGCACTACGCGACTCTACGCCTCAAGGTACTGCTATGTAGGGATTTTCAGCGGAATCCTAGGGGTCCGGCGACCAAGTTACCCCTATTTCAGGGGAATCCTAGGGGTCCGGCGAATCTGTCGCTGGAACTTTGCTGCCCTCTAGCGGGAAAAGTATTAGGTGTAGGGTTTAACGGATTGCATCACGCGACTCTACGCCCCAAGTTACCCCTATATAGGGATTTTCAGCGGATTCCTAGGGGTCCGGCGAATCTGTCGCTGGAACTTTGCTGCCCTCTAGCGGGAAAAGTATTAGGTGTAGGGTTTAACGGATTGCACCACGCGACTCTACGCCCCAGGTTACTCCTATGTAGGGATTTTCAGCGGAATCCTAGGGGTCCGGCGAATCTGTCGCTGGAACTTTGCTGCCCTCTAGCGGGAAAAGTATTAGGTGTAGGGTTTAACGGATTGCACCACGCGACTCTACGCCCCAAGTTACCCCTATATAGGGATTTTCAGCGGATTCCTAGGGGTCCGCGAATCTGTCGCTGAACGTCAATGTCAATAATTCGCTAAGTATACAGACGTCTTTCCCGAAACGTTAGCCCTTACGTACTGCCGTCACAAAGAAAAGATTCTGAGACTCGATTGCGACGCCCCCCCCCCATCGAAATGCTGCGCACAGCAGTATTTCGGTGGGGGGGGGGGCGCCCACACAAGAGACAGGGGCGCCACCACTGCCTGGCCACCCCAGTCCAATTGTCTTAAAATAGGCCCTGCTTGATTCTTCTGCTTTTTTGTGCAAAGTAACTTTTCCGCTACCTCTACCAGTTTTTCTTCTACGGTCTGCCGAATAGAACAATGTTTTTGATACAACTTGCCCCATGGCTTGGGTGAGTTGTATCGCATGGTGGGGTAATTTGTATCACTATTTCACGTTTCAGGGAGTGTGCTTGCTACTGGTTTTGAACATAACAACAACATTAAATGGGGTTAATACAATGTATAGGTATGCTCAAAGGCTTCACTTTATTAGACCAAACTTAGGTCAATGCAATCCGAACGAAACATCAACAGACTAGACGCAAAAGTGGCCCGTTAAGAGCAAAGAAGCCAACACATTGTGCCGAAATGGAACGAGCATTGACTAGGTACCTACAAACGCGAGCCAGGGCTTAGCTTTCGCGATCAAAAGCAACATACCCATGCATACATACATACATACAAACATGTTACAAACATACCCCACCCGGCTCTGATACAACATGTACCTATCCGCCATCTTGGAAAAAATATCCTCGTTATGGCCTTGATCCTCGTGCTAAAAAAAAAAACAGCGGACAGCTGGAGATTTCCGTTTTCACTCACGCAGCCTTAGAACCTACCCTCACCACCGCTACGGAGATCTTTCAAATTCGTGCACATATAAATGCCCAAAACACACATTTTCTTGCGACTTATTTTTTTTAGAATGACATTAAAAAAAAAACATAAAATCGGCTCTCACCTCGAGACGCGTCCACTCAGCCACAAGACAGAACAGGGAAAGATGGCGCCCGGAAAACCTCGTCGGCTGGTCGTGTCACGAGCGCCATCCATTGGATAAGTTTGGCACAATTCGCCCTGATACAACTTGGACATGATACAACTCTCCCCGCTCTCCCCTATGTAGCGTACTTCAAGGCATAAGGCATACCTATCGGACATTTTAATTCCCTGCTCGCTGAAAATTGTATCGTTTTGTGATTGTCACCTTTTTTGTCACCTTACAGTTGACCCTCGGTCAAATCGAAATAACTTCGCTTCGAAGCTTGGAACACGAAAGGACTTAAATCAGGACTGTCGAATGCTTTCCCTGCCATGTTTCAGCTTCTGTTAGTAGTGTACTTAGTTCACGAGCTATAAGATAAGCTGTCTTATAAAGTCGACAAATGAACAATTGACCACTGATGACCGAACCTTTCACCTGACGCAAGTATTTTATGAGTTATCGCGCCACGAATCTGGCAAAGGAGCCTGGAAGATAATGTTAGGTAAGCGGCTAACTGCTAAGCGCGATAACAATTTGAAAGCTCCGAGGTCCCGTATTTTTAATGATCGTTCAGTGTTCGCCATGGGCCGGGACAGCCCAAAGAACCATGGGCTGGGCCCTCAAATATGAAGAATCAACGGACTGTGAACGGGCTCGGCCAAGAACTTTCATCAAACGGATTCAGGCATTGCGAATTTTCGTCCGAGACGAAAGCCCTAACTAGGTTTAAGTATGCACTGCAGAGTGCAAGTGCATGTCATATGTTGTCAGATACAAGTTATTGTGGTAGTGAATTGAATGGACTGGAGTTAATTCAATCAATTCAATAATTTGTTGAATCAATTTAGTTTTTTTCGACGGGCTGGGCTGGGCTTCGACATTTTTACTATGAACGTGTACGGGCTCAGGCTGTGAACCCATGAGCCTGGGCCGGGATGGGTTGGGCCGATTGGGGTTTTGTAACCCCCGGCGAACACTGATTGTTTTGCGCGGACAGCGCCGAGCGCCCCGTAGGTATCGGCTTCTGGCACCTACAGTAGTTCGCAGATGCACTAGTATCCTCCCGATCACTTTTCCCATCAGTGATGAGACCGCACATGTGGGCGTGAGATTCCTCCACTTGCAGGAGAGAACCGAGTCAACACTATGTTCTTACACACCGCACGCACATTGCGTGGTATGCAGACGCCACTATTTATGCAGTTTGTATCGTCTGGCGAGCCGCGCCAATCCAATATGGTAACAAGACAAGACTTAGTAATCCTTTCCGGTACACGCGACGCTCCTGTCTAGCTAGACTACGCATATGAGACTTTAGTTCTACATTGGCATTTTCGCGTCTATGCATTTTAACTAAAGAGGCCACTAAAATGACATTGACCCACCCAAGTAATCCGTGAAGAAGCTGGCGATCTAAAAACGAAACACATGAATCCAACATGAACCCATCCACCCCTAATTTCACCATGAAATACCAAGATTCGTGTTCCTCCCATTTGATTGAACAATCCGTGGAAGCTGATGCAGCCGAGCTCGCATACAAAACCCTTCCAAAAAGTACGCATCGTATATTGCAATAAACAATTTATACGCACACCGCCAGCAAGAGCGCGTCACCTCTGGATGGGTCAATGGCGAGCACCATGAGGGGTGTTAGCATGCCACCAAGTCTGCAAGAGACCGGTACAACAGTCCATTGACAGCGGGCGGGGCGGCACTGGGTCGCCCCGGGTCATCGTCGGGAGCGTTTCTTGCTGCGGCCACCGCGAACAGCCGCTCGGCGGGCACGCTTGTGCCCTCGCGCACCGCCCGGACCGCGAGCCGCCGCCAGCAGTCGGCAGAGCCGCTCCGGCGACTTGGTGTCGGCGTCCTCCAACGCGTCACTGCTCCCACCTGCGAACACAGCACAACGCATCAATGGTTCGCAGTAACAAACTACAGCCAAACTGCCACACTCGCAAACAACAGTCACAACAATGCTTGTGACCGAGTGCGTGAGAGAAAGAAGAGTAAACCGTCATCGTATTGAGGCAGATCATAGTTTGAATCAGAACACGCACGAAAGCAAAGGACAGGCAGCAACCAAAAATCCGCACGAAGCCAGCAACTAAATGATAAGTACGAAGTCAGAGCTGTAGGGATCATCTATGTGCCTTGTCATTTCATGTTGTCATTTTCATATTGTCAATTCGTTTCGATTCTGCTGTTCGCTATACCTACTCGACGCAAGACAAAAACACACAGAAAACGGCTCGGGCATTTGGAGAAGAGCGGCTACTCTGAGACGAGGGAAGAACACGGAGATTCACACGAACGACCTGACTAGGTCGCATCGGCCACAGCTGACTGAGGCTCTGCCGGCCGTCGTACGGCTCTCGGGCGAACTCTGAGAGATTGACACAGACCGTCCGTTTAGCCAGCGCTACGCACAGCGCACTACGACAGAGCAACCTAATGATAGAGCGGGGGGATGCTCAGTGAAGAGCGTGTTTCTGCAGTAGCAGCAGACGCTCGTGAGGCTGACGGAACGAGTCGCCGCAGGTCAACAGAGCGCAGGGCCAGCGCAATAAAATAAACCGGACGTTTCAGTGGGCACTTGCAGTGCGCCAGTGTGCGCCGGGCAGATTTTTACGGATCGCCAGTTCGGCATATCAGGGATACCATTTCGCCCAGGAACCGTAAAACCAGCAGGGATTGCAGGGTGGCGTTCTGATACCAGGAGTTCCCGTAGTTCGGCAGGCCAATGTAGATTGAGTCCTTGCTGTACTTGTCTGAGTCGGCGGCCGGATGTCCGGGCTCAGGGAAAACAAAGCTAACCAGGAAGAGCAAGTCACAGGCAGAAAGCGATTGCAGAAGCGGTACTGCCTGCGTGGTGTGAACTGCAGAATGGCTCTGCTAAGCAAGTAAATATGCATGTTACTGTAATATTCCTACGAGTGTTGTGTGTGTGTGACTGAGCCTTTCCATTAGGTGCCTTGCGCAGTACGACACGACAGCCATACGTGTCCTGGCTGGTAGGATGTCCCGCTGACCTACACGTCTGGTCTCGTCCTTCTCCAAGGCACAGTCCTGGCGCCAATATCTGTCAGTGAGCACCTGCCGGTGCCCTGGGCCATCAGCAGTCGCGAGGACGAGGCGGCCGTGTCCGCGATGGTGGGCGGCCTTCGCGACACCTGCGACGAGCTGGGCTATCAGTTCCCAGCTCCTCAGTACCTGATGTCGGAAAAAGTCATGGCCTTTTACAACGGCTGAGTGTCGGCCACAGGTCACCAGCACCTGCAGTACCTGCTCTGTTCCTGGCACCTACAGCGGGTCTGGAGGAGCGTGCTGGCGAAAATTCAAGCAGCAAGTACGTCATTTGTGTTTCCTCGTGGAACTGACCTAGGACGTCCACAATCTGATGTCACGCTGTTTCCTTCCAGTCGTTTCCTTGGCTCGGAACACGGAAATTAGTTAATGTTCTTAAATTACCGGTAAGATAATTTTCACCTGCTGAAGAAGAAGCACCTGCTGGACTTGGAGAGCCAGGACATCATCGAGAGGGTCACAGGGAGCTCACCGTGGATCTCCCCTGTTGTTGTCACCCGGAAAAGAAACGGTAAAATCAGGATGTGTGTGGCCCTGAAGAAGGTGAATGAAGCTGTCATTGCCAATGGCCACCCCTTGCCGAATAGGCAGGACATGTTGGACAACCTGAACGGGGCCCATGTTTTTTTCAACGCTGGACATGTCTCAGGCGTTCCACCAGCTGCAGTTGCATGATGACTCTAGGGATCTGACTGCATTTGTAACCCATGAGGGAGTCTGGCGTTACAAGCGCTGTCCGTACGGCCTGAAGTCCCTACCACAGTGTTTTCAGCGCATGATGGTGGCGATCCTGGGCAAGATGCCTGGAATTCAGATGTACACTGTACATGGATGATGTGATTGTCTTTGGCAGAACGGAGAGGAGCATGACACCAGGCTGGAGACTGTTCTGGATAAGCTTCGGCAGCACAACGTGACTCTCAACCTGGAGAAGTGCTGTGTCAGACAGGCGGCTGCCGAGTTCCTGGGCTTCACAGTGGGAGGAGCTGGGATTGCAGTCAGCTAGGAGCGGCTCACCGGTCTGCGCCGGATGCCCTCGCCGTCGACCCTGAAGGAGCTCCAGACTGTACTGGGGATGTTCGGCTTCTACTCCCAGTTTGTTCCCAGGTTCAGCTCGGGTTGAGCCGCTGCGACAGGCTCTTCGGAAGGCCGCTGCGACTGGTGGCCGGGCATGGACACACAATGATTGAGTCACACCTTCATAACTGCGCGCTGTGTAGCATGCATGGTAAATCAGCCAAACCGTGCAGGCCTCCGCTCCAGCGGGTAGCCATGCCGGCAGGCAAAAACAGTTCGATTCCCAACCGTGAGAACAATGCTTCTCGTTGTGCGTGAAAGAATACAATGATTTGGCGGCCCGAAGGACATTTATCATCGAGCACCCGAACGGATTTATATCGTAGCGACAGACATTCGATTCCGCTACAGTGACAGCGAAAATCAACTCCGCTACACTACACGTATGCATGTGTAAAATATGTAAGTCTGATGTAGAATTTGGAATATTGCTGTGCTTGTCTGTGCGTGCATGGCAGACACGTGCTTTGAGCTACCTACAGGTGTGACGGCCAAGAACGTTGAGACTGGTCATCGGAGCGGCGGCGGCATCCGCCCAGTGCCCACCAATATGGCGCCGCCGCCGACGCTGTTGTAACATTGTACGCCTGTCGATGTGATTAAAAGGAAGGAGGGCGGCCAAAGATGCCCACGAGAGAAAGAAGTTTGGACGAGATGGGCTTACGGCGACGAACGCTGACATAGGGCGGCTTACGATATCCAACGGCGTTTACAAGGAAGACTGAGCGCCGCTGCGGCACGTGCTCCGTCGCTTTCATAGTACGAGAGTCACAACACCGTGAAGTTCCTCACAGGGATTACTCCACAGGGTACAGTTTGCTTTATCTCCGAGCCATGGGGTGGCCGTATCAGTGACAAAAGACTGACTGATGAGTCTGGCTTACTGGAGAACCTGATCCAAGGTGATGTCATCCTAGCCTACTGAGGATTCGACATCCAGAAGTCCACCGGACTGTTCTGGGTCACAAAATGCATCCCCGCATTTACCAGCGGGAAGAAGCAGCTGAGTGCGGTCGGGGTAGAGCAAACGCGCCGGATAGCCAATGCAGCATTCATGTAGAGCAGGTCAGCGGCCTGCTACGCCAGAAATATGCAATACCTAGTGCATGTCAATCCATCGATTTTCTCTCAGTCCCGAGGGCGACCTGGGAGTCGACTGTTGGGAAAGTGGTAACTGTGCTGCGCACTCGTAAACCTGTGTGAATCGGTAATTCCCTCTGGCTGAGTCGCACGCTTTTGTGACAGACGAAACGCGGAATGGGTGTCCTTGTTGCAGTCTGCCTCACTGGGTGAAAATCGGCGTTTAGCGCAGCTAGGAGCTTTTTCCAATCGTATACGAGCAAAAATTTTGTGGTACCATGACTTCTCTGTTTGGCCCTCTAGGGGCAATGAACCAGCGCGCGGCCGCTGCGCAGCCAAGACGTCCGTCGCGGTCACGTGACTTAGGCTAGGGGACGCGCGCCCGCGATAGCGTTGTGTCCCATTTCTGCCTGGTCTGTCTGGCGACACACGCGTTGGCGCTCCGCTCTTACAACCAACTGGCGTTACAAGGTACGCATATATCTTTCGCACACAGTTGCCGTTCGGCTTCCCGGTTTTTATATGTGCTCGATTTGGTGGTGATCAATTTAGAGCGGTGTGCTGTGCATGTGTTGTTGTGTTATACTGATGAGTGGTGTTTCCGGGCAATGCTCTGCGAGCTAGGGCCGGGCTAGCGTCCCCATCACGCCAGGTTTGTGTGAGAGTGGGGTTTGTGGGCGTGTCACCTCACCCAAAGACGCTGTTTTCGTGAGAATATAGCCCCGAATCACTTTCGCACCGTCTTTGCTAGCGCGTAGGAGCATTGGAAAATCGGCGTTTAGCGCAGCAAGGAGCTTTTTCCAATCGTATACGAGCGAAAAATTTTGTGGTGCCATGACTTCTCTGTTTGGCCCTCTACGGGCAATGAACCAGCGCGCGGCCGCTGCGCAGCCAAGACGTCCGTCGCGGTCACGTGACTTAGGCTAGGGGACGCGCGCCCGCGATAACGTTGTGTCCCATTTCTGCCTGGTCTGTCTGGCGACACACGCGTTGCCGTCCGCCTCCCCGCCGCCGCCATGTCATGTTATTCGCTTGTCGCGTGTTATACCTCATCGGGCTGTCACGTCACCTCACCCAAAGACGCTGTTTTCGTGAGAATATAGCCCCGAATCACTTTCGCACCGTCTTTGCTAGCGCGTAGGAGCATTGGAAAAAGGCTTTCGGTTAGGTTGAACGCTTACGCCGTTAAGTCACATACAGCGCGAGTGCCGCTTTGTCCTTGCGATTCGACGGATCTTCGTGAGACCAAATACATATTGTAACGACGTGGCGCTGTGGCACAGTCACGGCGTGCGGTATTGTAAACAAATCCCACAAAAGCACTATCAGTAACCTGGTCAAAGCGCACAATACAAAGAGGAACATTCACCTCATACGTAAGATATTGAGTGTAATTACGATAAGAGAGCAAAGCTGCTAGTGCAAAGTGAGGGCATATGCAAAAACGAAAATCGGAAAAAAAACATTTAATCATCCTTGCAGGAAAGACGAATTGGAGTACCTAAAGCGTCGAAAGGAAGACTGTAAAAAGCAAAATACAGACCACTGGAGAAAAAGCGAAATCATATCGTGACAAATTCGACTCAAACTTACGAATTAAGAACCAGTTCAAAGGATGCTCGATGAAAGCAGTGTGAAATATGTGTTGT